TTTTTTTTTTGCACTTGTGGGGTATTTATCTCACTGAATGCTTGTTTTAATCGAAGTTTTAATTTCGTTTTTTTTTTTTTTTTTTTTTTTCGTTTTTGGGCCCCACGTTGGGCGCCAATTAAGCTTTTTTGCTGTAAGTGTTAGATGTTAGTGTGCGGTGTTGCACAAAATGAGTAGACTTCAATAATCCCGTGGCGACGACCGACGTTCTTTATTATCAAAAATCAACTAAAGTACAGTGACATAAATTCTTATATCCAAAGCTAGCCCTAAACCCTGATTATGCTGACATTGCATATTTACGCGAGGCATCGCATTACTTCGGGCAACAACATTGTTGCGCGTTGGAGCCACTGCTGCTGTTGTGCAATATCCGCTGGGAACGGCTACATTCATGCTGACGGCGCGTGATCAATCTGAACATTTATGTTTTGCTGGTCGATTGTGTTAACTTATATTTTTTTTTGTTGTGTTAACATTATTCAAGGAATTCCCCTAGAATTTCCTAGAAAATATCAAGTTCAAATTGAATTTAGAATACATTTTTTTACTTATTTTTATTAATGATTAAATTGTTTAATATTCATATAAGTGTTAAAGCAAAATTTTGCCTTTAAAATTGATACAAATTTTTATTAAATTTATTTTTATTTTAATATGTCTATATAGTCCTTTGCTTAAGAAAAATCTATTAAAGTTAATGGGTAATTTTTGTGGTTTAACAATGGCTCCCTCACCTCTGGCTGCATTATGTTATCGTAAATAAAACTGGTGAACGCTGAAAGTAACCGGAATTAAAAGCAAACATTTTGATAGCCATGAACATTTTTCACGTTTTTGTGTTAACGACGACGAAATGCCCTAACTTAAATGAAGCAAGTCTTGAAGTAAATATTTAAAGTATTCAATTATTTCAGTTGGTTTCCATTGGCAGATTTTGTAGTGTTTCAGTTGTTGACTTTGCAGCAATTGAACTTTGCTTATACCTCACATATTATATTGAATATATAAAGAGGTTTAAAAAAAAAGCAGCTGGAACAAGCTTTTCGCAAAAAAAAAAACATGCACAGAGTACACAAACAGGCCACACACTTAACGGGCAAAAATATTTGCTGAAACGCATATTTACTTGCCAAAAAACAAAGCCAAGCGAAATTGGTTGGCAAACAGTGCCAATAACAGCAACAGCAACAGCAGCAACAGCAGCAGCAGCAGCAGCAACAACCATGATGATAAAATCGTTTGGCGAAATCAATTTGCATTGGCCAGGGGCTGTGCGAGCTGTGGGGCGGTGTGCAGAATGCAGCAAACAAATCAAAATTAACCAATACAAGTGGGCAGAGCTGTGGGCATGACGCATGTGGCACGCAGCAGGGGCGCAGCCAAAGCCACAGCATATGTATGCAACAGTGGCATACAGCGGAGGCAGCAGCAGCAGCAGCAGCAGCAGCAGCAGCAGCAACATGGCGCCCAGGCGAGAGAGTGCTTAAGCCAGTGCTTAGCACACAAATGAAAATTTAATATTCGCATTACCGCAGCGCCGGCAACAGGAGCCAGCAGAGATCTCGTAGTTTCTGCTCCACTGAGAGCGAAGCAATCTCCTGCTGAGGGTCTGGCATCCACCCCGCTCGCACTGCATTGCTAATTTTAAGCCATGCCATGCATTTCGAATGGCTTTAAGGGACCCACCGCCAGGCGTTCGCAAAGGGTCCGTCACGTTGAGGTCGCGTTGACAGATTGTTCATTACGCGCCCAGCGCGAATGCGTTTTAATTACCGCGCAGAAGGCGACGCAAATCAATTATGGGGCAACTGCGACTGCAACTGCAACTGCAACTGCAACTGGGAATGCTGCTGCAGCTGCAGCTTGCTGCGGGCCAAATGTCAACTTTTGACCAGCTTCGCACCTGCAGCTCAATCAACTGGACGCTGGGCAAATAACTCACCTTTTAAGTCCGCACGGCCCGCTGTGGTGTCGTGCATCAAAGGTTCTCGCCGTGGCGATATTATTGCAGGTTTAATGCGGTTTCACGTGTGGCTCCCCTCGTAATTTACGATTATAGCTGAGTTAACCGCACTTCCGCACACACACACGCACACACACGCACACACACACACGCACAGACACTTGTACTAGATGCGGTGGGCATATCATAGCTCAGTTCTTGGCACGTGTGCATGGGCGTGGCTGTCAACCCTTTAGGGCCATTAAAAGGCCTCGGCTTTGGCATAACTAATGTGCCTATTAAAATCGCATACGAATGCCAGATATTTGCCAATTGCCAACCAAAGAGCCAAAGCCCAAAAGCCACCTAAAGAAACTTTCACTCTTTGCCTTTTTCTTTAGCGATGAGACACTGAGGCGCAAAAGTTTCTGTTCTTCTTTTCTTCTTTATTTTTTTCTGTCTTTGCTTTCGACCTCATCGATGAGCTGATAAGTGGCAATTGAGGCAATGAGTGTGTGTGTGTGTGTGTGTGCATGTCATATGAAGTGCCAAAGTTGAAAAAGTTATTTGCATGTAAATTTGTTGTTAGTATCATCGAAAAAATAATACGAGGCCGCAAATGAATGCGAAACAAAGAAAAAGCTGGCAAAACTTTAGACAACAACAACAGCAACAACAAAATGTATATATGGGGAGATAAGGCAAACAAACAATGATAAAGCAATATGCAAGAGCTCGAGGTACGACGACTGGAGCTGGTTGCCGCCTAATGACGGCGATAAAAGCTGGCGAATGGTACTAGCCAAACAGCCAGCAAATGAAAAGTGTTTCAATAAAGGCCAACACAATTGAAAACTTTGCAATTGCCACGTAGAACAGCTACACGCACACAGCTACACCTACAGTTGAGCTGTTGTTGTTGTTGCTTTGTTTAGCTGCACATTACAAAATGTCGGCGCTTGATATCCGTTTCCGCTCAACTGGCAAAATTCATTAAGCCCGACAAAATGGGGCTCGGCGCTCAAAGAGTCACTCAATCTGTCAATCTGTCAATGCGCCAAACCAGTCAGCCAATGCTCGAGTGGGTGCCCAACGCTCAATAAACTTTCATTAACTTCGCTCATTCATCAGCCAATCAGACAGACGGACGTACGGACGGACGTACGGACGTACTCTGGCCGACTTGTAAGTGTTTTGTAAACATGACTTATAGAAATGGCAGCCAATATTTTTCGCAGTTGCAACTCAAGTGGCACGCCCCACTGACATATCAATAAGGCTGCAGTTGCGGCCCCGATCTGCAGTCTCTGAATAATTCATGAGGCCAGATTTAGCCCTACTGTTGCCCTGGCAGCCGAATGTCAGACGGCAGCAATCCGTCAAGTTCCTCCCGGGGTCAATGCAAAAATCACGACTCTCAATGCTCAGTAATCGGACTTTGGCTATCGTCAATTACAATTCAATTGCGTTGCCAGCTGGGGCGAGGTGGAGAGGGGTGTGGCGAGCTGAGGGCAGTGGCAAATTTAATTGAGCATTCAAAGACGCAATGACACGTGCGACAGACGGCGACGATATCGCCGAAAATGCTGGCCAAACCGCTGACCAATTTTGTAGCAAACACGAATCAAAGCTCCAATTGCTGCATGTCAGCAGTGGAGTGGGCGGTGGGACGGGGGCAGATTGCCGAGAAGATTGCCCATTGGCTGGCAAGATTTATCCCACAGTTTGTGTTTGTCACTCTGCACTGTGCAAGGGCAGCTTGTTATCGTGCCTGTCTCCACGATTCTCATTTGATTGGCAGCTCAGGTTACAATTTCTACCAGGCAGCAGCAGCAGCAGGAGCAGCAGCAGCAGCAGCAGGAGCAGCAGCAGCATTGCTAGCACCACAAAAATATCCTTCAGTGTCGGCTTCCATGTTTTGCTCACCGACCATTTTGCCACGTTTCCCCTGCCAATTTTCCAACTGTCAGCATACGCAAAGTGTTGTCAGAATTGTGTCCTTTGAACAGAGCTGCAATTGCGATTGCAATTGCGACAATCTAATGCGCATCATGAAACGGAATATCCAGCCATTTGCCGCAATGCTTGCTCGGACACTTTGAGCTTCAGCTATTGTCATATATATATTGTTTTAAAAGGGCATTCTGATCCATTCAGTTGATGTGTCTATGTGTATGTATATCCTCACCTTTGGCCACGTCAACTCTTTGGCAATGTTGGAGAAAGAGTTCAAAGGCATCACGTCTTGGGCTAATTGTCAGCATAATTAGAAGACGGCGGCACAAATCCCGGAGGGCCATTGACTGATTGGCGAAAATGTTGCGACATCCACAACGGTGGCCAGGGACGGCCAGGGGCGTGGCCAGGAGTCTAATTGAATCACGTGCGTGGGTGGAGAAATTGGCTTTGGCAGTGCAAATGGCGTTGGGACTAGGACTTGAACTGCTTCTGGGACTGGGAATTGCTCAATCGCTGACTTTTCTAATAGTTGTACGCCGGCACGCCCACTGGCGCCGCCCATAAGGCGCCATCGACGCGTACGCAATGGGACAACAACTTAATCATCATCACGTCGGCATTAGTCACACTCCAAGCGCATTATCCTTTCAACCCAGCTCGCATTTGCGTCTGTAAGACAGAGCTTACATATCGTGTGTGTGTGTGTGTGTGTGTAAGTGTGTGTGGGTGTGTACGTATGTGGGCTTGCTCACATGTCATTTGAAATGCCATTTGCAAGTCTCTTTTATGGCCACGACAATAAAGGCATTTGCCAAGACTGCGCAGCTATCTGATCGCTCCCTCAACAGCTGCATCAATTCGATAATTATGGCTTATGCCATTTGCGTACTCTGCTGGGTCATGGCTGTGCTGGGCGTGGTCAGCAAAGGGTGGCTTACATTAAAATTAGCTGCATCAACGTGCCTAATTACAATTGAACCGAACACCATTTAGGGCTCATCTCATCAGCTGCATTAAGCGATTAGGCCAGCCAAATGTCCATAAATATATATACACGTCTATATTTATATTTGCTTTAGCCTGCCAGCGAGTGTGTGTTGTATGTGTGTGTGTGTGTGTGCTTGTTTGTTTGTTTGCCTGTCTATGCTAATACGCGTCTGTCTACGTGTGGCATTTCATTTGTGTGTGTGTGTGTGTGTGTGTGTGTGTGTGTGTGTGTGTGTGTGTGTGT